CACCCCCGTAGTCAATCACACGTCTGCACAAGTCACGTCAGAACCCGTCATCACGAGGCACATGTCACAGTGTGTCCCTCTCACCGACACCTCCACCCTCCTTCTTGAGTTTTGTTCATCCCATTTCCTGATCCAGTGCGATCCTCTCTGACGACAGGTGTGGTCCTGGTGGTCTGTGTGGGGAGGGCATTGACCCAATCATAGTCTTAGTCTTAGTAATGTGCTCCACTCACGGTGATCACAAAAATCCTAAGTATATAAGAATTTTAAAAATTGACCCAAAAGAAAGTAATCCCTAAAATCCTGTGCACCTGGAGCTATGGACTAAGAATGCATGAAAATATTAACCAAGAATTGTCCTAAATGAGAACTAGCAGGGCCGATTGAACAACCCATACGTGAAATGGGATAATTTGATAAAACCTCTCAGCCAATGAAAAGTAGAGAATTACATCATTAGGATACAGGTGGTTTTTATAAACGATTAAGGAGGTTTTTCTGGGAAACGTGGATGGAAACTTCTGTTTGCCTAAACAAATGCATACAGTTTTTATATAAGAAGTGAACACTTACTGAACTCTTGGCTTCAACTCCAAGTAAGAGAAATCACCCACATCCCACCTCAGATATGAGGAAGGTGCTCGTTTCTCACACAGGAGGATAGAACCGTGCAGACAAGAGTGTAGTAGAGGCTCAGAGGCCCTTGTGCTTTTTAGCTGCAGCATTTTATCTATTGTCCTGGAATCAAGATCCCTGGTCTTCCACAGTGAGAGAATGGGTGCTTGCCTGCAAATGATACCTTATACAAATATGGCTGGAAGACGGGAGCCAAAGCACCAGAGACATTCAACAAGAGTGAAAGTTTAAATCAGTGGCTTGGGGGACATTGTGGGGCTGGGTGGACAACCTAAAGTTGTGGGTTTCTGACCATGGAATCTGATCCATGACTGGGGGGTCATGGAGACATGAGTGGAAGGCATGGCCACTGATTATTTATCTATTCCCAAAACAGAAGGGGGAAAGTTAGTGTTTGGTTTGGTCCATGCTTGATTGACAGGCTGCTGGTAAGAACTTTTGGGTGCAAGCTTTTTGCCAGATAAGCCGCTATGCATTTGTCCGTCTGTATGGCGACCCCACCACTAGCCTAGGGCCTCTTCACCTCTGCTTTCGATACTCAGACCACCGGTGAGTTGTCACCTAGAATCAGGAATATGGGGATTCTGGGAAAAGTGGCTGTAGTTCAGCGGAACCATAATTATCTCTGTGTAGATTTCAGTGACCTTTCACAGGAGCGTGGAAAGATGGAGTACAGTGAGGGGCCCCAAGGAAAAGGTACCTTATTCCTTTCATGGCGATTGTGTATTTCTTAAATATACATACAGGCTGAAATATATATGTACATAAAGTCAGAAATATCTGTATACTTTAGAGGGATGGTTGTGTACGTGGTTGGAAGGACTAGGAAAACAAAACAGTAAAGTAACTATTTCAGGTAACACTGGAAGTTGATGCCTAAATTGATGACGCAGTATATGCAGTACAAACATACACAAACTCTGGGTTCAGCATTGTACCCGCCCCACTTCATGTCCACGTGGAACCTCTAATGCAGCCGTATCTATAAGTAAGGCGTTTGCACATGTACGGTTAAGGTAGGCCTTGACCCAATGATGGTGTCCTTATAAACTGGAAATTTGGACACAGAGGCCTGTACTGAAGACGGGCCTTGACCACATGAGACAGAAGCAGGGATTGGCATGATGCATCAACTACCCAAGGAATGCAGAGGGTTGTGGGCCACCCCCAGGAGTGGGGAGGGAGGTCTGGACAGATTGGTCTTCAGAACTTCCAGAAGGAGCCAACCTTGGAAACCACGGGATCTCAGGCTTCCGCCTCAGACAGACCACGAATGTCTGTCCTCTCAGCCACTCAGTGGGTGGCACTGTGTTACAGCAGCCCCGGGAGAGGAAAGCATTCTGAAGTGGGGGGACCTCAGACATCTGAAGGACAGCTGGAAGCCACTGGCCACAGTGTTGTGAGGGGGGAGGAGGCACAGGAGATGGGAGAGGAGACGATGGGGTGGGTCGCATTTGCTGGTCGGCCAAGAAGACTGACTTTGGTAGTGGGTGGCCTGGATCCTCCAGATGAGTTGATCAGGCACCCACACAGGATCCTTCTGTTACCATGACGACGGACAAAAGGATGGTGATGTTGGCCAGGGTGGTAGATCACGCTGGGCTGGTAGCCGTAGCAATGATGTAGAGGTTGGAGCACAGATGGAGTTTAAAGTTGGAAGCATGAGCATTTCCTGACTTGTAGGTGAGCTGAGAGAGGAAATGTTCCAACGTGTCAGTACTTAAATAGTTGGATCGTTTTAGTAGAATTCCATCAATACTATGACCAAGTTTTTCTTGGAACTTCACACATCCCACTTCAGGATTTTATACAGAAGAACAAGTGTTCAATCATGGACATGCTTTTCTACATAATGAGGTGCAGGGAATTACCCAGAAATGAGCAGTCATCAAGACTTGCATGTTGGAAGCCTAATGATGAAGGTATGGATGTATAGTAATATGTTTGCATTAGAATCAAAGATCATTGCTCAAAACAGAAACACCGTCATGGCCTTGCACATTACACAATTGTCCAGGGACATGTGTGTTATTAGAGGATCCCAGTTCCAGGCCTTGGAAACAGCTCTGCTGAGAATCCCCAGCCCTGGTAGGCCTGTTCTGGGTAACCCGAGACTGAGAGAAACCCAGGCAGAAATCTTCATGAACTTGGCATTCAGGAAGGTTTCTTAACTGTGACAGGAAAATCACAGGGAACACAAGAAAAAGTAAGTAAATGAGGCTTCAGCGAGATGAAAATCTTTTGTGCATCAAAGGTCACTACCAAGACATTTAATAACACCCACAAAATGGGAGAACATCTTTGTAAATCACATCTGTGATAAGATTTTATAATTGAGAATACACAAAGAACTCCTATCTGAGTAAGAAAAAACTCATCCAGGGGCGCCTGGGTGGCTTAGTCGGTTAAACGTCCGACTTTCGCTTAGGTCATGATCTCGCGGTTCGTGGGTTCGAGCCCCGCGTCGGGCTCTGTGCTGACTGCCAGCTCGGAGCCTGGAGCCTGTTTCAGTCTGTGACTCCCTCTCTCTCTGACCCTGCCCTGCTCACGCTGTCTCTCTCTCTCTCTCCCCTAAAAATTTAAAAAAAAAAAATTAAAAAAAAACAACTCATCCAAGCCAGAAAGTGAACAAAACCTTGAACAAACATTTCTCTTAAGATGATGCACAACTGTCTAATAGACACATGAAATGATCCTCACATCAGGACGATGCAAGTCAGAACCACGACGAGATGCCACTTCCCACTCACGAGGAGGTGCGGAGCCAGAATCCAGAGAAGCAGCGGCATCAGGATGTGGAGATATTGGAACCCTGTGCTTGGCTGGTGGAAACGTGAACTAAGGCAGCTGCCGTGGAAAAAAGTTTGGTGGCTCCTCAAAAAGTGAAAGACAGAATTCCCCTGTAACACAAGTGTTCCAGTCCTACCTAAACTGACACACTCAGATGTGTGCCCACGAATGCCAGTTACACAACTGTGCAGACCCCGCAAAAGGGAAACATCCCAAGTGTCCCCTAGTGCGTGGATGGATGAACAGGGTGCGGCGTATACACAGGAGGATGGTTGTTCAGCCCCAGAAAGGAGTGAGGCACCGACACATCATGCATGTGAACAAATCATGAAGATATTCTATCATGTGGAAGACACCAGCCACACGAGGCCACACAGTGCAAGTCCACTTACATAAAATAGGAAAATAGGCAAATTAACAAAGTATTTCAGCAGTGCCCAGGAGGCATGATCTCATGGCTATTGTGGCCTTTAAATTTATTTTGGAAAATGGAGATATAAGTCACATAGGATTGGACTCACATTTTTAAGAGTAAAAGTTAGTGGGATTTTTGTGTTTTGTTTTTTGTTTGGTTCTTTTTGGTGTGTTCTCAGAGCAGTCCCACATCAATCCAGCACCTGAAGGAAATGGAGCCTTGATTATCAACGGGAACTGATAACAAACTGGATCTGCCGTGACTTTCCTTGCAGAATAAAACACACCCCTGAGCATTGAAACGTGACACACTTATGGCTGTGCCTGGCTGGAGCCGCGGGGGTCCCAAGTCCCTTGGTGTTTGAGGACCCAGGGCAATTTTGATTGACCTGAGGCCTGCGAAGTGGAAGTTCGTTCAGAGGGCGGGGCCTCACGCTTTCAAAGGGCCCAGTCAAAACCCAGGGAGGCCTATAGCCCCTTAGGTGAGGTCACAGGTCAGTGACCAGTTCTTCTCTTTTATTAATTTTTTAAAGGTTCATTTACTTTTGAGAGAGAGGGGCAGAGAGAGCGGGAGACACTGAATCCAATGCAGCCTGCAGGTTCTGAGCCACCGGGCACCCCATCAGAGAGCTGTTCTTAAATACAGGGGACCGGTGCACCGTCACCCCGTGTCAACCACGAACACAAGGTCACCAGACCCTTGTGTGCAGTCGCGTACCGATGGACTCTGGACTAGGAAGGCCCCGCAGAGAAAGGGAGTCGGGTTCCCGGGACAGAACAGGAGGCAGGCGGCTCAGGCGGCCCAGAGCGAATTTCGCCGAGAGCCACCTCCTCCCCGGAGGATCTGACAGGTGTGCGCCGTCAGCCTGTCACTCAGGGGGCAGGAGGGGGGCCCGGGGGATCTGTCCAATATGCGGCCGCAGGGGCGGTGCCAGGATTCCCCTCCAATCAGAACGGGAATCACCGCAGGCTGTCCTGTCACAGTGCAGAAGTGACGAGGGTGTTACTGTCCAATCAGCTTCTGGGGTATTATTTGTGAAAATCATCCAATCACGTTACAAAAACTGAAGGTTTGGCCAATTAGGGCCCGGAGCCTGTACACCATCCAATCAGGCCCAAGCCAGAGCCTAGTGGGCGTGGCTCTGAGCCCCGGCGGCGGGCGCGCTCCGCTCCTGCGCAGCCCCAGGTGCGGCTGTGGTCGCCGAGCAGCCCCGAGATGGTGAGTGCGCGGCCGGGACAGGACGGGACCAGCCGGGACCCGGTGGAAGCGGCCGCGGCGGGGTGGCCCCGGCTCCGGGGGTCCACCTGGGTCCTGGGTGGATGGAACTGGAACGGGAGGCTGGGGGAGGGGGCAGGGGAAGGTCTAGGATTCGGGGGTCACAGGTAGACACTACCCAGGTGAGCTGTCACCTGAAGGACACTATGTGCAGCAGTAAGGAGGCCGCAGGGAACCGCTTCCGACTCGGCGGCTCCCCAGCGGGGACGGGTGGGTTTCTTGTACGGAGGGTGAGGGTGAATAGTCGGAAAGCGGGGCTTTGTCGGGGGCAGACGAGGCGGGCCTGAGGGGGCGCAGACCGAGTTGGAACGCGTGTCTAGGAAGCACGCGAGCAGGTTGCTGGTCGGGAGGCCGGCGCCGCCCCCGGGGCTGGGACGCGGGCGTTAGGATCCGGCAGCGGGCGGTGTGGCCGTGGGGCCGGGGCCGCGCGCGCGGAGGGAGCAGGCGCACGCGCACGGGGGCCTGGGCTGCGCGGCCGGGGCGGGAGTGCGGGGCTTGGTCACTCTGCACACGGCACGGAGTCTCCCCGGTTTGGCTGTGTCCTGGCCTGGGGGGGACGGTCAGCCTCTGCGGCCCCGCTGTCCCTTAAAGTCTTCGGGGGTGAGGTTGGTTTTTTGTTTTTCCCTTTCGTTGTAACTCAGACCCGGACCAGGAAGTTGTGCAAGGAGTGTACTGGGTAGTGGAGCCGGGGAGGCGTAGATGTGGGAGGAGAGCGGGGGGCCTAAAACGATTGCTGTTTCTGGGCACCCGTCACCCGCTGGGCTTGCGGGGGGACCCACGGTGGACCCGTCACCCAGCCAACCTGAGTCCTGCTCACTGACGTGGGAAACAGGCAAGCTGTGGGCACAGCAGAAGCTAAGGACGCACCCCCCACTCCCAGCAGGTGGGGAAGGTGTGACCGTCCTCAGCCTGTCTTAGCTGCGCAGGAATGAAGGACAGAGGGAAACAAATGGTTAACGAATAGGGATCAGAGTCTAGCAGGATGTGAGTCTCCATCCACTTACAAACTTCTTAGGAAATTATAGGGAAACAGAAATCTGCAGAAACCTATGGAGTCAATGTCCTGGAGCCCCAATGTCACCCTCCTCTCCATAGGATAGAAAATCCCCTGTGATCCATCCCTCCTCACAACCCAGTGCAGCTCTTTCTGCCCAGGGTCCTGGCCCCGTGCTGTAGTAAACCAGCTTTTTGCACCAAAGACGTCTCAAGTATTTTTTTCTTAACCCTCCCCACCCCCCATTCCAAAACCACATCAGCTCCTCCACGAGGTGAAACTGCACCACACTGAGCTGCAAGTAGCAGGAAGAAAACTTAGCAGCTGATAGGGATTCAGAGGATCACAGGGAATGACTTCCATAGTGCCCGGAGGGAGGGTGGATTGGCTCCTCTGGTTTTGGGCTGGGCTGCATATTTAGGTGGGGAAGCCTTGTCCCGTGTGGGGTGTGCCTGGCCAAGGATACAGTATCTGTGCCTTGTGGCTACAGGCTTTTCCCCAGTGTGTGTCCTGTAAAAGAGGCTTGCTCCTCCCCCCCTCATTTAGTGTGACAATGAGGTAAAGGTTATTTCCTGTCACTCCAGAGGTCTCTCCAGGGCCTTCAGTTCAGGCTGGAAGCAGGCTCCTCAAACTGGTCCAGGAGGTCAGGCCCCTGGAGGGCTGGGGAGGGTGGTCACTATTGCACCAGGGGCTTCTTCCTATCATTTGATGAGTTAAGAGGAAAGCTGGAAGTGACGGCTTTGGGAAACATGTGGGGAAAGGTCTGTCAGTACAAACACAAGGCTTGGGGTCTAGCTGGTGACAGACCTGGGAGATGACCTCAAATCTGCGCCTGGCTGAGGACGATTTATCACAACCACTTCCACCAGGGACCGGCTCCCATGTCAGGGACCCTCCAGTGAGACAGCACCGGGCTTGGCTGTTCTGCGAGAGGGGGATGGGCAGGAGGCCCGCGTCAGGCTGGGGCCCTGCGGTGGAGGAAGGCCTCCTGGGCTCATGCCCCTAGGGCCTTGTTCCTCAGCTCAGTGGGTGCTCAGAGTGTGGGCCCCCCGCAGTTCAGCGCCCGTGGGGGGGGGGCAGTGGCCTGGGTAACGTTTGGGTAGGAAAGGGGCGGTGGTGGACAGTTGCTCAAACCGGTGTCAAAGGGGAAAACCGAAGTAAGGAGAGACGTGTATTGAGGAGAATGATTCCTTCGAGGGGGGAGGGGCTGTTGCTGGGGTGGCAGGGACCAGGCGGGGCTGTTGGATTTTGTTCAGGGGCTACAGTGACAGGGTGGACGCTGTGAGCATAAGACCTGAGTGTCTCAAGAGTCGTGTGAAAGGGAGGAGAGGAGTGTTGGAGGCCGGCTCCAGCAGGCCCAGGCGTCCCTGAAGGATGGACGGTGTCGGCAAGAGAGAGAGTGAGAGAGGCCCGAGATTCTTTCTGATCACCAGCCAGGCATCTCTGTCTTGTCGGTTTTGGTATCTTTATTTAAAGGTTCAGCAACAACATGAAGTCAGAGAAAGGAATTTCTACAATGGGAGGCCTTTTGCGATAACAAGTTTTTAATATTCTGCTGAATTATTCCCAGTCATAGTGAATTGAAAACCAAGGAATTAACAGGATGCTCTTAGTGAAAAACAGGATAACATATAGGTTAAGTTGTGTATAGATAAGCTAGGAGTCATTCTGTCTGGCTTTCAAGAGGATGACTGTTTCTGAAGTGGTTTGTTTGTGGAAACTACCATGGGGGCCCTAAATGTGTCCGTCTTTGCATCTGGGTTTATGTTTGAGCCGCTCTTATCTGTCCTCATCCCAGCTGCCAGCGTAAGGGGGGTGTTTGTGGAATGTAGGCCTTGAGGAAGGGACTGCTATGCTTCACCAATTAGTAAGTTCTGTTTTGTCTTTATCTGTACCTTAGCTCTAAATTAGGCTCTTTTGACATGGGGCCAGGCTCAATTGTAACTCTTGTGTTTTTCACCCCCTTTATGGTCTGAGTCTTGCATCTGCTAGGCTCATAGGAAGAGCCTTTTGAGAATCATCCACAGAGCTTTCATCTAAAATCTCTTTTGTAAAGGCAGGAATATGCTTTTCCTTATGAGGTATCTGTTCAGAATATGGGTCTGATATGGAATATTGTGAGGCCCGGTCAATACCAGCAGGCTCATTTCCAACATGAGCCAGTAGTAGTAGAAAGAGGTATCAATTTTCATGGCAGAAGCTGTGCAAACACTCCCATTTCCTTGCTGTGACTGTTATCCAGTGAGGCCGGTGTGGCTCCCAGCAGAGGAGGAAAGACACCAGGCGTAAGCAGGTGTGGTGCTGACGCGCACGTTCCCTGAGGCCAGCCTGTCCCCGTGTCCCCAGGAGGGGCTGTGTGGGGCTCAGGCTGAGACAAGCCCACGTTCAGGGTCTGGAGGAGGAGAGAAGCTAAACCAGCGGGGGAGCAGCCGGCACGTTGTGCCCCTTGGTCATGGGGACGCGCAGCTGAGCTGATGGTGGATGAGGCACAGTGTGGATTGGGGGGGGTGTCCGCGCGGGGCCCTGTCGTGGGTGAACCCGGGGACGTCCCTGGGAGGCTTCTCCTGGTCTGACGGGGGAGGGGCCCTGTCTGCAGCCTGCTGGTTCCCAGACCCCAGCGGGGTGGGGGAGGGGCTGCCTTCCTCCTGCCCCTGAGGTTTTCCCGGGAGCACAGGGCTCGGTAGGCGTCTGGTGTCCCCTGTCCCCTGTGAGCAGCGCTGTCCCTGTCCAGCTCAGTGCCGATGGCCCTGTCTTCTGCCAGCCTCAGGTTCAGCAGGTGTAAACGCCTGAGTTTCTGCCTCCTTCCTTCCCCTTCAGCGCAGAGGGTAGTTAAGTGTGTCACGTCGTTCCTGTCCCTGCTGACTCGGTCACTCTGGGCTTCATCCAGAGAATGTCCCCTGGGGACACGTGTCTCAGGACAGAAATCGCCCTTCTCCCTTAGGGTTGGGGGCACAGGCGGGGGCGCCGCACCTCCATGGCAGCTGGGTGGAGTCACAGACCACACACATCCTGTGAACTGAGACAGGTCACGTGTAAGGGTACCAGGTCCCTGTTCTCTGAAAGGGAGAAACCGCTTCCATTCGTGTGACCCGCCCAGAGCCCTGGGGCCGCCGCTCCCACTGTAGCCCTGAGCGCAGGGTGGAGGCCGCGATGCTGCACCCGGTTGTCCCCACGCCAGGTTGGGGTCCTCAGGTCACTCAGGTGACCCAGGGCGCTGAAAGCCGGGGTCTCCCCTGGGCTGGGGACCAGTGGTCCCCCGAGCTGGGCCTGGTGGGAGGTGAGGGAAGGTGTGTGGGGTCTCTCGCCTGCAGGTGGCCTCCAGCCCCCGGGAGGAGTGTGGAAGGCGCTGTGGCCGCCCAGACAGGTCGCAGGGCCCGAGCAGGAGACGCAGTGCAGGGCGTGACTTGGGGTCGCCCTGGGTGGGGGGGTCTCCCGAGGACTGGTGTTGGCATCATCCGTGGGGCTGAGGGGTTAAGTGGCATCTGTGGAAACGAATTCTGTGCAGGTGAGACTGAAGGAAGTGCTCCTCGGGGTCAAGTGCTGGTGGGAGGGTCATGAACGCAGAGCGTTAGGGGTCAGATAATAGCCTGGGAGGATTTCCTCCCTGGTGAGAATTGGGGCTCCCGAGGAGGGGGCCAGGGTGTGTGGAGCTCAGGGTTTAGTCCCCTTGGGGCTCGGGGTCCCCTCAGACCTCCCCGGTGGACCCGTGTCAGCAGGGAGAGCTGAGTCCCCATGTGGGACCGGGCCTGACCCTCTGCCGTGGGGCGCCGTGTGCGGTGTGGGCGCCGTGGGCGGCTGATCTGATAGGCTCTCGCTGCCCTTGGAGTCCAGCATGGGTGACACTGTGAGCATTTGTCCTTCAGCCATACCTCTTTCTGCAGCTTTCCGTGTGGTCACCCCCAAGCAGCGTGTCACTTGCCTGGGTCTCTGTTGCAGGTGTGATGGGGGATTCTTAGCTGTGCCACCGGTGACGTCGTGGCTGCCGTGGGGCTCCCAGGGCTTGTCTGTGTCACTGGGGCGGGTCCCTAGGGCTCGGGTTGCCTGGTGAACCCCTTCAATCCTAGATGTTGGGGTGTGGGGGTCCCCAGTTCATGTTTTCCTTCTGTCGGCTCTGCTGCTGCCAGCAGTGTGGCCTCGTCTCCAGGGTAAATGCCCCGTAGGCTGCATTTTGCAGCTCGCGAGTCAGTTGCAGGTTAGCAGGAAGCAGGTGCAGAGTGTGAGCCTCACGTCGGTGCTGGGTCCTGTCACTTGTGGCTTCCTGTGTCCAGCTCGAGTGTGTGACATAGGGTGTCCTTGACATCACACGTTGGATTTTCTGACTCCCCCGGGGCTGAGCATTTCTCCTGGGCGGATCCCTCTTCTGTGGAAACCTTTCCAGCGTGTTGTCCCCTGTAACTCACACGTCTGCTTCCTGATGTTCTGTTTCCTTCACGTCCTGTGGACATTCGTGCTGTTTCTTTTCTGCGTGTTGTGAGTGTTCTCTCCCGGTCAGGGTGTATCACCTCTCTCTGTCTGCATGGATGGACCCTCCACGTTGTTAGTGGACTTGAACTTCCCTGTCTCTTCCTTGTAGACGACCTTCATTTGTTCTGTTAGAAAACTCCTCCATCATTCAGTTCACAGTCACACATGCTGGAACTTTCTGTGTGTTCCACTTGTTTCCACGAGGGTGAATCACAGGACTCTGTTACTGTCTATGAGCTGATGATTTCTTTTCTCCCTTAGATAACTAGTCTTCTCTGGTCCTGTGTGTTCCATTGTCCCTGTCTCTGCCACTGCCCCACGGCACCTGCCTGGTAATCATCCACTTGCCTAAATCAGAAGTGCCTGAAATCTTCCCTTTATGAATTTCTATTATGGGATTGGGTGGCAAATGGGAGATACTTGTCCTGCGAGATAAGAGCTTCCCCAAGTACATCCTCCAGTCCAAGGTAAGGAATGTGACCCCATCCGTTATTCCCATAAGTCCATGGTTAATCCAACAGGGTGGGGTACACTGTGGCTTTTAGGGAGTGATTTTGAGCTTCAGAGAAATGGCTTTGAGATCCCAGTCCCACAGGATTGGTCAAGGCAATAGTTGAGTCAGGCAGCTGTTGGGGAGCCCTTCCCATTTTCCAGCCGTTCAAATAATCCTCCGTCCCTGGGTCCTGTTATTCTCCCCCCAGAGTAACAAGCAAGGAGATTGTCTGTACATGAGCTGTATGGCAGCTTCTCTGAGGCTGACCTCAAGTTGTTCAGGAGCAGTTTTTAGGACTTTAGGGAAAAGGACAGTTTGGGTTAATGCCTTTAAATCAAGAGAATGGAAGATGGGACCCTAGTTTGGAGAGCTGTAGCCAGATATTTGGGGAAACCCGGAAGAATTCAGGACTTAGTCTGGTTTATAAGAAATACTATCAAAGTCTAATACCTACAAAGATGTGTTATGTAAACATGGTTATTTTCTCTGAATTCTCTCTCATTTCCAGAGATAGCAAAATGGAGGATAATTGATTTGTAAAACAAGTCCAGTTTTAACAAAATGGTCTAATTACTTACAAAAGCTCAAAAAACAGTGATTTGCCCTATAAGTTTTTCAAAAAGCCTCCTTTGCTCAAAGTTTTTATAAGGAATCTCTACATTGAACTTTTAATAGCCTCTCGAGGCCACAAGAGAAGCCAAGTCTTTGTCATCAGACATGACATGTAGATTTGTGTGATTTCCTCTTCTCGAGGTCCCCAAACTATCCTGAGGTTTCCGGCACCTGCTGGGAGCTGACGTTCCTTACTCACCTGGTGAGGCTGCTGGGACCCTGTCAGCGGGACATCAGGCCAGCATTTCCAGGGGGCTCGATGGCCTCCACAGAGTCCACCTTAAAGCCGCCGAGCTGTCTGCTCATTTCTGACTCTGTGCGGCTCTCCGTCAAATCGGACGTTCCAGTCCGAGCCTTGGTAAAGTGACCAGTGTGTGCAGCCGTGTCCGTTACAAGGAGAACAGATTCTCACTGCACTTGTGCAGAAAGGAGGGGAGGACTCCGCCCTCAGCCGTGGAGGAAGGTGTCTGCTTGTAGATCAAGTCAGCAGCTGCAGACACGGGGACTGAGGGGCTGAGGGGGACCCGGCAGAAGCAGGGCGGCGACACCGGCAGCACCGGGTCCCAGCTGACCCTTCACACGTGCGCGGTCACCCCGGCCGAGCTGCCATTGCCAGCTGTGCCGCTCGTTGGGAACAGACCTTGGGAACAGAGAGGGGAGGAGGGGAAGGGTCATTCGCCCACACCGCCCCGAATGGTCCGACCTTGTTCCCCTCCGACCTTCAGACCATCCCGGGGAGCCCCCTCGGATAGAGAACGTGGGGTGCCCGACAAGCACTGTGGTCACTCCTGCCAAAGGGCCGAAGGAAAGGAGAGGGAGGCAGGGATCCCCCTGAAGGGCGGGAGGGGAACCCCTCAGCCTGGGGGGCGAGGGCGGTCCCATAGACTCCCCTGGGGCTTGGGATCCTCGCCAAGGAGCACCCTCAGGTGGAGGTTGTCACGTGCCCAGATTGTACTGGAGCCAGCCCACACGGGAAACTCCCCGGAAATTCCTAGAACGTCCCGGGAGAGGCCCAGGACAGCAGAGGGTCCCTGTGAAGGCCGTCAAATGTGGGGCGACCCGATGAGGTGGAGGCCGCAGCTCAGGGGGTGAGAGAGTCCCCCCGAGGCGGACAGAGGAGCTGGGGGTGTGCTGAGTCCCCTGCACGGGAGCAGCGGGCAGGGCAGCAAAGGAGAGACCTGCTGCCGGGAGGTGGTGCTGGGGGGCTGTGGTTATGGGGGCCGTGAGGGGGCGTGGGCACCTTTGGGATGCGCCCCGTGTTGGGACCTGCGCCTGGTTGTAAGTACCCAGGGGTCAGTTAGGGACAGTGGCCTGGTCGAGGCAGGTCCCTTAGGAGCCTGTGTGTATTCAGCTGTGTGCTCACTGTGCACCCTTTGCTTTGCTCTGTGTACTTCCATTGCTCAGGTGTGTTGCCTGAAAGCAGCCTGTACACTCTGATTTTTCTTCCTCTTCATAGTGACCGGTGGCTCTGTCCCCATCAATCCTTCAGGGACTCTTCCTTCTAGTGCCACTTTTCTTCAGTTCTGGGCCCTGGGTTAAATGTTTGACAGGCCCTACTGACTTCCAAGTTTCTTGTGGCTCCAAACTCATCTTGCACACCAGGTGTGCCAGGCGCCCGGTGCCTCTCCTGTGTTCATGCCCGGAGTCCACCTAACCCAGGGAAAGGGTCGTGTGCCTCTGTTGGGAAAAGAGGGGACTCTCCCAGTCTCCTTGACCTCGTTCCTTCCCGGGTAAGAGCAGCGCTGGGATCTGAGTGTCCACAACGTCCTGACATTCTGGCCGGTTCTTGGAGCTGACGGGGCAGGATCATCTTTGAGCAAGACAGACGTGTGTCCTCCGATTTCTGTGTTGGTCGCATGAATGTGTCATGTTCAGTCTGTACAGTAGTGTCCACTCACACCTGTCTCCGTGTAAATAACCCAGGAAACTGGGCGTGTGTGAGTCTGTGTCAACTGCTGTCATCACCCTGCGCTTCACGTTCCAGCCCTTCCCGTCCTGTGCGCACTGCAGGGGACCTGCTTGCGTGTTGTCACTATCTACTCACGTGTGACTCAGGGGTCCTAGGAATGGAGGGCAGCTCCCTGCCTGTCACCCTTCATCCTCCCACACACACGGGTGAGGATGGAGCTTTGCAGCAATGGAGTGTGTGGTATGTTTCAGGCCTCTGTGGTCTTTGAGGATGTGGCTGTGAAATTCACCCCAGACGAGTGGGCTTTGCTGGATCGAGATCAGAGGAAGCTCTACAGAGATGTGATGCTGGAGACGTGCAGGAACCTGGCCGCCGTGGGTAAGGACCCTTACACTGGGCAGGTCCCTGCACTGGTCTTTTAAGGAGGGAGATGGAAAGGTCAATATTTGCACATATTAAAACTGTACATAGAATATCCTTAAGACTTCACCAGTTAGTATTAGAAGTAATAAATTAAGTTAGAATAGTTGCAGAACACAAATTAATGTTCCACAGTGTTACATTTCTATATTTACTACCTAGTAGCTGAGAAATTAACAATTCCATGTTCAATTGGTTCAAAAACAATATAATACTATATTCACAGTAACCAGGAAAGTTGAAAGATCCGTATTCTGGCAGGTATAAAACATTTAATGAAAGACATTGAAGATGATACAATAAAGGGAAAGCTATACCATTCTCATGGATTGTATGGGCTAATTTTTTTGAAAATGCCCTTACTATGAAAAGCACTCCACATATTCAGTGTAATCCCTATCAATATACTAATAGTATTTTTGAGGAAACTAGAGCATGATATTTTAAAATTTGTATGAAAACAGGGGCACCTGGGTGGCTCAGTCGGTTAAGCATCCGACTTCAGCTCAGGTCATGATCTGACGGTTTGTGGGTTCAAGCCCTGCATTGGGCTCTGTGCTGACAGCTCAGAGCCTGGAGCCTGTTTCAAATTCTGTATCTCCCTCTCTCTCTGACCCTCCCCTGTTCGTGCTGTCTCTCTCTCTCAGAAATAAATAAAACATTAAAAAAAAAAACAACTATTTTGAGAAAGCATACCAGAGCTGAAGGTATAACAGTCTCAGAGTTCAAACTGTACTAAACAAAACAGTATAGTACTGGCACGAATACGGAAACAGTGACCAAGGCAACAGAATAGAGAGTCCAGAAATAAACCCATGTTTATATGGATAAAAAATCTACAAAGAGGGGCGCCTGGGTGGCTTAGTTGGTTAAGCTTCCGACTTTCTCTTAGGTCATGATCTCACGGTTCGTGGGTTCGAGCCCCACGTCGGGCTCTGTGCTGACTGCCAGCTCAGAGCCTGGAGCCTGTTTCAGAGTCTGTGACTCCCTCTCTCTCTGACCCTCCCCTGCTCATGCTGTCTCTCTCCTAGAAATAAATAAAACATTAAAAAAAAAAATCTACAAAGAAAGAGCTAAGGGGGCATCTGGGTGGCTTAGTCGGTTAAGCGTCCGACTTTCGCTTAGGTCATGATCTCGTGGTTTGTGGGTTTGAGCCCCGAGTCGGGCTCTGTGCTGACTGCCTGCTCAGAGCCTGGAGCCTGTTTCAGTCTGTGACTCCCTCTCTCTCTGACCCTCCCCTGCTCACGCTGTCTCTCTCTCTCTCTCCTAAAAATAAATAAAAACATTAAAAAAAAAAAGCTAAGAATATAAAATGGGGAAAAGACTCTCTGTTCAATAAATGGTGTTGGGAAAATGAGGCAGCTACCTTCAAGGAGATGAAACTGGACCAGCTTCCTACCCCTCACCTGAAAGTACACTCAGTATGGAATAATCACTTAGGTGTAAGAGTTGAACCCATACAAGTCTTCAGACAAAACAGAAGTGCTAAACTCATGGACATCAGCCTTAGCAATATTTTTGTGGAATCATCCCTTCAGGTAAGGGAAACAGAAAGAAAAATAAGAAATTGAAAGAGGAACATAACAGACATTTTCCCACCGAAAATATGGAGATGGTCCCTTGACACAGGAAAAGCTTCTCCTAATCCTCAGGGAAATGCAATTCAAAACAACAGTGAGCTGTCCCTCATCCCTCACAGCATCCAGAATGGCTAGTATCAAAATGTCAGGAACAAGTGTTGGTAGCGGTGTAGAGAAAAGGATACTCCCTGTTGGTGGGATTTAAATCGGTGGAGCCAGCTGGGCAAAGTGTTTGGAAGTTGCACAACAAAATGAAACACAACAGTAGCATATAGTTCATAATTCCACTTCTAGGTAGTTCCCCAAAGTAAAAAACCCAGCATGATTAGATGTGCACCCATGCTCATTGTACTGTTACTCACTGTGCTCAAGGTAGGGAAGCAGCACAGGGGTCCATCAACAGAAGAATGGATAATGAAGGTGTAGTATCTATATATAAGGAATTAACACTCAGTAATACAAAAGCAATGAATTCTTGTCATTTGTGACAACATGGATGGACCTAGAGGGTATTATACCAAGTCAGTAAGTCAGACAAAAGACAAAACATGCTACGTAAATGTGAAATCTAAGTGACAAAATGAACAAACAACAGATAATTGAACAGACTTGAAATTGTAAAGAACAAATTGGTGTTTGTGAGATTAGAAGGGGGTGGAGGGTCAGGTGTAATAGATGGAGGGGATTGAGAGGTACAGATTTGTACTTATTTAATAAATAAGTCATGGGAAGGAAAAGTAGAGCACAGGGAACATGGTCATTAATTTTGTAGTTTTGTATAGTGACTGCAATTACACTTATTATGGTGAGCATTTTGTAATGTATGTAATTGATGAATCCCCATGTTGCGCACCTGACACAAATATATAGGTCAGTGTGCTTCTACCAAACAATGAATGAATGAATGATAAAAAGTCCCACAATTATCCGTCATCAATGACCTTCAGGACTAAAGTCAGCCCCCATCTTCCAGATTGCTTGGTGCCCTTCAAATCCTCCCTCCTGCCGAGCTCTTCTCAGGGGCAGGGCAGCAACCACACCATCTAGTCTCCGAGTGGCAGCTGGGGCAGCACCAGCAGGCTCCAGTGAGAGTCTGTGTTCCTTCTGAAGAGGCCAACCCTTGGTTGGACTGGGGTATACAGAAGGGATTAGCATTTGGACATGTCCATTAGAAACATGACTCAGTCTGTCTTTGAGAAGAGTAATGTCTGCCATTCACCTGGCTTCCGTGTTGGACTTCACGTCCATCATCGCCCATGTGGCCAGTCTTTCTGTCTTCTTGTAGAGGTAGGGTGTGGATGTGTGTGTCTTGCCCAGTTTGTTCCTACTTGGCTTTTCTTTTTCTTTTTTTTTCTTTAATTGTTTAATGTTTTTTTATTTATTTCTGAGAGAGAGAGCATGAGCAGGGGAGGGTCAGAGAGAGAGAGAGAGACACATAGAATCTGAAGCAGGTTCCAGGCTGCGACCTAGCTGTCAGTACAGAGCCCGATGTGGGGCTTAAACCCACAAACCGTGAGATCATGACCTGAGCCAAAGTCGGACCCTTAACCAACTGAGCCACACAGTGCCCCTACTTGGCTTTTCTGGTAATACTTATCTCCACATTAGTCTCCATCTATTTTGAAGTATTTCTCAATGCACGGGGTGCCATTTCCTACACTTTCTCTATTATTGCCAAAATCCCAAGTCACCAGGGTCCTCAGAATTTTTTACTCACATGACCATTCTCCCTCATGAAGTTCATTTACATTTCAGGATCGGTATATGAATAGAAGCATTCATATGGTCTGTTTTCTTACACATCAGGTCATTTCCAAGAAATTCAATTAAGCTACCAATTCTTGTAGTTTCCCCTAGTCAAGGTAAAATAAGTGAGTCAAAGATTCAGCAGAATACTTGGCAGAATGAGCCTCTGTGTGAAGAGAAAACACTAATGTCTACCAAAAAAAATGCTTCCTGTTCTGTTTGTAGAGGAGCAGAAATTTCACAGCAGTGGAGATCTGAGCCGAATACAGGAAGGGCATTTGAGGTGAGTGACACTTGCAAGGAATGATCGGGGGACGTTGGCAGTTGTGAGACTAAGTTGAAATTAAGGAACAGCAGTAAACCTAGCTCAACAATCGTGTAGTCGATTTTTTCACATGATGAAGTTTTTATAAATGCAGTCTACATATCGGTCAACTGAAAAACAATTCAGTTGGAAACAATGGTCAGGGAAAACCATATTTAAGAAGCCCTGAATGTTAGGACCGTATTTGAGTCCTCAGCCAGCGCAGTAAGTTTGTACTATTTTGTAACCATGCAGACAGTGCCCCAAACATACTCCTTCACTAAAACTCTCCATCATGTAGCCCAATAATGATTGGACTAACATTAATAGCTCATTAATAACGAGATTGCTTCTAATCATTATTCCCTAACCGTGTGCCTTCCTATATTGAACAGAAGTCCTTTGGTGGAAGGTGTCTGTGAACATATTGAAGGAGATCAATGTGGAGAATCCCTGAACCCGGTTACAAGTCTTACTGTGCGTGAAGGGCGTCCCACTGGAGGCAAATCCTGTGAATGCGCTAAGTGTAGAGAAGCCCTCACAGACGGTTCCTTCCTTGAGAAGCCGGAAAGATCTCAGCCAGGACTCAAACCTAGTCCCAGTGAGGAATGTGGGCCAGCCTGCATCCCCGTCTTGAGCCTCAGCACTCACATGGACGCAGACCTTGTAGAGAAACCTGGTGAAGGTCAGGACACTGGGAGAGCATCTAAGACATCGAAATGTCTCAGTAATAAAATATCTCTGGAGTGCCAGAAATGTGGAAAAGCTTTCACTTGCACATGTTCCTTTCTGGGCCATGTGCGAAATGACTGTGGACAGAGTGTCCATACGTGTGACGTGTGTGGGAAGACCTTCTTGTATCTCTCCTTCCTTACACGTCATGTGAGAACTCACACTGGGCTGAGAACCTCTCAATGTCAGGAGTGTGGGAGAGTCTTCCAGTATAAGTCATGTTTGAAAAAACACGTGAAGACACATGCTCAGGAGAAACCCTATACGTATCAGCCGTGTGGGAAAGCCTTCCCTGGTCAGCAGTCCTTTTTAGAACCCATGAAAGGGCACACAGGGGATGGACCCTGGGAGTGTAAAGTGTGCGGGACAACTTTCAAGATACGTGTACATTTTGAACGTCACATGACCACACACAACGTAGTGAAACCCCATGAATGTCAGGAGTGCGGCAAAGCCTTCAGGTATCACCCAGAGCTGCAAGTACATATGAGGACACACACTGGGGAGAGACCCTATGAATGTAAGCAATGTGGGAAATCCTACCGGAAGCATCATCATATTAAACGACACATGTCCACTCACAGTACAGTGAAACCCTATGAATGTCAGGAGTGTGGCAGAGCCTTCGGGCATCAATCATACCTGCGAGTACATATGAGGATACACACTAAGAAAAGACTGTATGAATGTAAGCAATGTGGACAAGTCTTCCGGGACTACACAGACCTGCGAGTGCATATGGGGACACACACTGGGGAAGGACCCTGTTAATGTAAGAAATGTGGGAAAGCCTTCCGGGTGTATACTCATTAAACGTCACATGACCACTCAGTGCAGTGAAACCCTATGAATGTAAGGAGTGTGGCAGAGCCTTGCGGGATCACCCAGACCTGCAGCTACATATGAAGACACACACTGGTGAAAAACCCTATGAATGTAAGGAGTGGGATAACTTTCAGATATCGGAATCTGTGAGAACATCTGAAGACACACAATGGAGAGAGACCCTATAAATGTCAGCACTGTGGAAAAGCATTTAGTCGTCACTGTACCCTTGTGCTACATACTGAGAATTCACAAAAAGATGGACACTTGGAAAGTAAGGAGTGAGAGGAAACTTTCAGGAAGCATCGACCTTTTGAATGTCACTGAACTCCACACGATGTGATGAAACCGTGTATATCAGGAGTGTGGCGGCGCCTTCAGGTGTCCATCACTCCTGCAGGTTCACGTGTAGTCACACGCTGCGGAGAGACCTTTTGAGTGTACGGAGTGTGGGAAAGCTTTCAGTCAGCTGCAGAATTTTCAAGGTCATTTGAAAACACACAGCGCAGTTAAACCCTATGAAGGTAAGAGGTGTGGGAAGGCGTACAGGTTCTCATCTCTTCGAGTGCACATGAAGCAACACCCTGGGTGAGACCTTGACACGCCCCCGCTCCTGCAAGAACACGTGAGGCTGCACAGTGGACAGTAAGCCTTTGTATGTAAGGACTCTGGTAAGACCGTCCAGAGTCCCAAAGACCTGCAAGTAATGTGATGACCATCGGTGGGCAGAACCTTATGAATGACTGCTCTGTGGGAAAGCCTTCAGTTGTCCCTCTTCCCTTGGAGGACACATGTGAATGTAAGAACCATGGAAAAGCCTTTAGGTATCTCAGGAATCTGTGAGCACAGACACACTGTGAGAAAGCATTTACTGTCCCTTCAGGTCTTAGTGAAAATGCGAGCCAGTACAATGGAGATGATCCTGAATGGACACAATTTCGAGAAAATCAGGTATACAACTTCATGTATTTTGTTCATGAAAATTCAGTCAGGAGAGAAATCTTTTCATTGTTGTGGATATGGTTTTGAGTTTCCAGGTGCCTCTTCTTTGGTTGGGATCCTAAGTGTATGAATTCCTAGTTCGTGTCACTGATAGGAAAACTGATGGTTTTAAGTGGCCTTCGTTGTCCTCTACGTCTGTACAACCTAGATGTTGTTATCTCAGACTTGAAGTAATGACACAGTTATGTACAACGTGTTTCTTTTCCATTTCAATGTCTTTGGACCCGGAGGTGATAAAAATGTGTCTGTTGTTGCTATGTACATACAACTTTGTATACTTTTACAAAAAAAACCTCTTGAATTATATGTTCCAAAATGTTCCTGTTAAGTTTTCTTGACGTGAGACCCTTCATTGTTGGAAGTTCTCTGTTCTCTGTTGTGATACTGGGATAATCTGATTTTGTGTCTCGTCTTCTTTACAGGTTATATTAATAAAAGATGTATTTTCACATCAATTCTGTCTTTTTCTTCAATTAAAAAATTTTTTTTAATATTTAAGAGAGAGAGAAAAAGCAGGGAGGTTCAGAGAGGGAAACAGAGTCTGAAGTGGCCTCCAGGCTCTGATCTGTCAGCACAGAGCCTGATGCGGGGCTTGAACCTACAAACTGAGATCATGACCTGAGTTGAAGTCAGATGCTTAACCGACTGAGCCACCCACGCGCCCATTTTTCAACTTTTAAAGTTATAATACCGGTTTAGCTTTTGTGGGATTCATTATTGGTGTCTGGTTGATTTTGTTGCAAATTATGATTTCGAAGAACATCCCTTTGGACCACGACTCAGGTTTGCCATTTTGTTTCCATGAGGAGTGATTGTAGTGGAAATACCAGTGGGGTGCTTTCCTCTGGCCACCAGGAGGTAATATCTGGAAAGACTAGTACACTTAATATCAGATCAGCTGATCAAAGTATTCCATCTGATAAGTTCTGGACATTAGTACCTTTTCAGTTTCTTATTAGGGGTAAAAACACTTCATTGTTTCCATAATATTATACAGTTCTGAGGTACCCCAAAGGCATTCCAACTATTGGACGAAATGTTTGTGATGTTACTCTTTACTATGGTATTTGGTCATAAAATGATGTGTAACTCATCTTGTTGGACTGTACATCAAAGGGAAAAGTATTGGCACCTCAATACCTTTAAAAGGATTTGCAAGGCACTTAGTTGACTAGGTCAGTAGAGTGTGCTATTCTTGGTCTTGGGCTGTGAGTTTGAGCCCCACATTGTGTGTAGAGGTAATTTAAAAAAAAATTAAAATGAAATTTTAATTTAAAATAAAAGGATTTGCAAAAGCACACCCAAACTATATAATCCTCTGTGACTACTGGTGTAGTCCTGGAGGTCTTTGAGAAAGTCAGTATCTTAGGCGTATTAATATACTACAGTCATCTTTATGACAAAAGTCTTGAGTATATATGAATTTTAAAAGTAAACCTGAAGGGGGGCGCCTGGGTGGCTTAGTCGGTTAAGCGTCCAGCTTTCGCTTAGGTCATGATCTCGCGGTTTGTGGGTTCGAGCCCCGCGTCGGGCTCTGTGCTGACAGCCAGCTCAGAGCCTGGAGCCTGTTTCAGATTCTGTGTCTCCCTCTCTTTCTGACCCTCCCCTGCTCACGCTGTCTCTCTCTCTCTCCTAGAAATAAATAAAAAACGTTTAAAAAAAAAATAAAAAAATAAACCTGAAGGGAAACAACCTTAAAATCGTAATGAACCTGATTTATGGCCAAGAAGATAAGAGACTTTCAACTAAGAATTGTCTCATGAGAAATAGCAAGACAGATTTAACAACCCCTAAGTGGAATGGGATATTTTGATGAAATCTCCCAGCCAATGAAAAGTAAAGAAAATTACATCAATATACAGGTGGTTTTTTAAAAAATGATTAAGGAGGTTTTTCTGGGCAACATGCAGACACACTTGTGTTTGACTAAACAAATGCACGCTGTTTTTAATCACAATATAAAAAGTGAACACTTACTGAGTTTCTTGGCTTCAGCTCCAAGTAAGAGAAATCTCCCACATCCTGCCTGACATACGAGGAAGGTGCTTGTTTCTCACACAGAAGGATAGAACCGTACAGACAACAGTGCAGTAGAGGCTCAGAGGCCCTTGTGCTTTTTAGCTGCACCGTTTTATCTGTTGTCCTAGAATCAAGATCCCTGGTCTTCCACAGTGAGAGAATGGGTGCTTGCCTGCAAATGATACCTTATACAAATGTGGCTGGAAGACGGGAGCCAAAGCACCAGAGACATTCAACAAGCGTGACAGTTTAAATCTGACTCGGAGGGGCGCCTGGGTGGCTCAGTCGGTTGAGCGTCCGACTTCAGCTCAGGTCATGATCTCACGGTTCGTGGGTTCGAGCCCCGCGTCGGGCTCTGTGCTGACAGCTAGCTCAGAGCCTGGAGCCTGCTATGAATTCTGTATCTCCCTCTCTCTCTGACCCTCCCCTGCTTTCTCTCTCTCTCTCTCTCTCTCTCCCTCTCTCTCAGAAATAAATAAAATGTTAAAAAATAAAATAAGTCAGTGGTTCAGGGGACACAGTGGGGCTGGATGGAAAACCCACAGCTGTGGCTTTCTGACCATGGAATCTAATCCATGATTGGGGGGTCATAGAGACATGAGTGGAAGGCAGGACTGCTAAGAAAATAGAAGGGGAAAAGTTAGTGTTTGGTTTGGTCCATGCTTGATCGACAGGCTGCTGGTAAGAACTGTGGGCTGCAAGCGTGTTGCCAGATAAGCTCCTATGCGTTTGTCCATGTGTATGGCGACCCCAACACTAGACTAGGGCTTCTTCACCTCTGCTTTCAATACTCAGACTACCAGTGAGTTGTCACCTAGAATCAGGAATACGGGGATTCTGGGAAAAGTGGCTGTTGGCCTTACCCACAATGAAATAATTCAGCAGAACCATAATTGTCTCCGTGTAGATTTCAGTGATCTTTCACAGTAGCATGGAAAAATGGAGTACAGTGAAGGGCCATAAGGAAAAGGTATATAGATCCCGTAAAATGGGAGAACATACTTGCAAATCACAAATATGATAAGATTTTATCCAGAATACACAAAGAACCCCTACATCTGAATAAGAAAAACTTGAGGGGCACCTGGGTGGCTTAGTCGGTTAAGCGTCCGACTTTCGCTTAGGTCGTGATCTCGCGGTTCATGGGTTCGAGCCCCGTGTCGGGCTCTGTGCTGACGGCCAGCTCAGAGCCTGGAGCCTGTTTCAGTCTGTGACTCCCTCTCTCTCTGACCCTCCCCTGCTCACGCTGTCTCTCTCTCTCTCTCTCCTAGAAATAAATAAAACATTAAAAAAAAAATTAAAAAAAAAAAAGAAAAACTTGAGCCTGTTAGAAAGCAAAATCTTCAATAGACATTTCTGGGTTTTTTTTTTCTAATGTTTATTTTTGAGAAAGAACATGAGCAGGGGAAGGGCAGAGACAGAGGGAGACACAGAATTTGAAGGAGGCTCCAGCCTCTGAGTTGTCAGCACAGATCCCGACACAGGGCTCTAACCCACAAACAGATCATGACCTGAGCCAAAGTCAGACACTTAACCAACTGAGCGACTCAGGCGCCCTTAATCTTGAAACTTATAGCAGACACACCAGGCCCCATAATGTGAGGTTATTCCTATAAAATATGCAGAATAGGGAAATCCGTAGAGACAAGTATTTCATTGGTGGCCATGAGACATGGTTTCATGGTTATTTGGCCTTTAAATTTATGTTGAAAAATGAAATATAAACCACATACCATTGCACTCACTTTTTAAAAAAAATATTTTTTGAAAGTGACAGAATTTGTTTTATTTTTATTTATTTCAAGACAGAGAGCAAGCATGGGAGGGACAGAAAGAGGGAGAGAGAATCCCAAGCTAACTCCACACTGTCAGTGCAGAGCCCAACGTGGAACTCAAATTCATGAACTGGGAGATCATTGCCTGAGGAGAAGTTGGATGCTTAGCCGACTGAGCTACCCAGGAAGCCTAGACAAATTACATTTTAAACAAAAGAACTGGAACAAGATGAATAAGGGCATTAGTTTATAATTAAGTGGTTTATCCATCAAGAAGATCCAACAATTATAAATATGCTCCCAAATTGGAGGCTACCAGATAAAGAAATCAGTAACAAACATAAAGGAACTCGTTGATAATAATATAATGGTAGGGGACTTTAACACCTCACTTATGGCAAGGGACAGATCATATAAGGAGAAAATGAACAAAGAAACAGTGGCTTGACACACTGGAGTGGATGGACTTAACAGACAATTTCAGAACAATTCATCCTAAAGCAGCAGAATACACATTCTTCCCAAGTATACATGGAACATTCCCCGGATAGATCATGTACTGGGTCACAAATCAGCCCTCAAGAAGCACAAAAAGATTGTCAATGCTATGAAACTTGAAGTCAACCCCAATAAAATTTTGGGAAGGCCGCAAATATACGGAGATTAAAAAACATCCTACTACAGAATACATGGGTTAACCAGGAAATTAAATAAGAATTTTAAAATTACATGCAAGCAGAGGAGGGTTAGATGGCGGAGAAGTACGGAGCTCCGTGCATTGCACTCGCCCCCATATCTCACACGGAAAAGATCTGAAGCCATAGGAAACCTTACAGAACCCAAGAGATTGGGAGAGAAAGGACGCAGAATCCACTGAGAAAGCCTTCTAACGTGAGTGCGAACCGGGGAAGATAAAATCGGGCAGGGATCGGAGACTGGAGGGACGGGGCGATCCCCCTCCGCGGGGAGTGAGAGGGGAAAAAGAGAGAGTCCGAAAATACTCAAGATGCGGTGTCTGCCGCTGGGAAACAGAAAACCCTCCGCTCGGGGCACAGAAGGACGGTGCGCTCCCCGCGCGCAAAATCATCCCGGAGCGGCTGCACCGCGCGGGCACCGCTCCTTTGTTCCCTGGTGCTCCCGGCGCGGCTGGCTTCCTGGAGGAGCGAGGGCGGACCCCCCCCCAACCCCCCGAGCTGGCTGGAACTCTAGGGGGAAGGCGAGGGGCTTAAAACTGGGAGATTTGCCTGCGCGTTCGTGTTTCGGGTGGTGAGACACAGGGGACCTGGTTTCTCTCTCTCCAGCGGCCCCGCGCGCCCCCCAGGGAAGCCCCCGCCCAGGCTCCCAGCCCCACCTGGAGGACGGGGAGCAGCGGCTTCTGGCTCCGCCCCCAGGGCCAGGCCAGACGCTTGGAATTGCCCCGAGGGCATCGCCTACCGCAGTTTCAGTCGCAATTTCAGTCGGGCTCATGGAAACTAGCCTGGCCTGGGTTAAAGAGCACGACCCACCCGGCCCGGGAGTTCACACGCCCAAAAAAGCGAGGTGCAGCGCTTGGCTCAAGAAGGGACTGGGGAACCGCCGCCATCCTCCCCACAACCGCCCAGGCAGAGCTCCCGCCTGACGCGCTGGATCACACCACGCCCATCCCTGCTAGAGAGCTGCCC